CAAATACAGTCTGTTAAAAAGGATATGGGAAAATAAATACAGTTACCCAGAAGACAAACGCTAATCTCTTTGAAAGTAGTCTTGTTGGGACTGCACACGCCTCCAAACAATCTTGTTATTGTTGGCAATTTTTTTAAGAGGAAAAAAAAAAGATTTTTAAAGAAATAGGATACAGCTTGGTCTGCATAATGACTTGGGTTGACAGCATTTTTAGTATGGGTAACAGCAAGAAATTGCAGGCACCATGTTAAACAGAATATGCAATCTGATGGGGGAAAAAAATGATATTTTGTGCTTGGAGAAAACAAATCAGTCTGAATCAGCTTCTAAAAATGGTGGGTATGTTGTCTTAACGGAGCTTTCAAGTTCCTTTTGCCCGCAGATCATATCATTTATGTGGCACATCATCATTAGCAGAACAGATAACCTCAAGGTAGTACTCTGTGGTCACGTTTTTGACCTTTGGCTGTGTGCTCGTGGTGCAACATAACAACATGATCAGCCTTTTTTCAACCTTTTGGCATTTTCTCGATAATGATGATTGCTCCTAGGTTTGTGGGTGGTATCCATAGTGCCACAACCCATCACCAGCGATCTCACTGTTCAGGACGTTGGTGTTCTCTCATGCACAGTTCAGCATGTCACGTGTCACTTCCAGATGGAGTTACTTCTGCTTCATAGTTAACACCTTTGGCGTAAATGTTTGTGGTTGTTTTAATCAGCAGACTCCATGGCAGATGGAGTGGCTGAACCACTGTTTATTGTCACATTGTCTGCAAGTTCTAAGATGACGGCCGACGGTATACATGAGGAGAGAATGCACTTTGTCATTCTGACTTGTTGAGGACCTACAGAAATGTGGAATCTGTCTACTATATGGCTACATTGGAAATGATTGTGCAACTCCTTAATTTACCGAGAAAAGGACTTTACTGAAACACCTATGGGTGTATTTTGGTTGGAGCCTTGCTTTCACTGACCACATATTTTGTTTAATACAGTTTTTGCGTGTTCACAATATATATACCAACTGACGCTGTTTTAAAGACATCCAAACATAAGTATGAACACCAAGAAACATATAAACATCATATTCATACCAGCACTGTGCTACCAGTATTAAACTTGAAAATGAAATGATATTATCAGACTGACTGTGGGAACAACACCATGCAGAAAATTTTTTGAGAAACAGAAGATCAAATGGTTTGGTCATCTAGTAAGAATGCATGCAGCCAGAGGAACTACCAATACTGGTGCTACACATACACATATCTGAAGTGAAAGCAAGAGATGGCCCTAGGAGAAGATGGATTGATGACATTAAAGAGCTTCTACATCAACATGGAATGACAGTAACCATTGTTGCCCATCAGGCCATGCATTGCAACATTTCTCCCCATGAAGCTTAATGGCAGAAGTGGAAATTGTTGGTGTGGAACCAACCCCAGCATTTTAATTCAGCTGTTAGTAATTTCACTAAGCAATTTTACATTCAGTAATTTGCCATTTCATTTTGAACGGTTGGCTCTCAATGCCACTGTTGAAAACAGTACAAGGCGGTATGTTGTCAAATTGTGCACAACTGGGATCAAACCCAGCACCACAGAATTGTGAAGCGTTTTGCAATTTATGGAGGTGAAACTTGGTCAACTTATTCACACCAGGAGAGACGGCTAAGTAGCATTCACATGTGATACTTAAGAGAATACTTGGCATTAAGTGGCAGGACAAAATCACAAACACTGAGGTACTGGAAAGAGCTGGTACTACAACAGTCTTTTTAATGCTCAGTCTACGAAGGCTCAGGTGGCTGGGTCACACCTGAAGAATGGAGGATGGGATAGTCCCTAAGGACATCCTGTACGGTGAATTAAAGACGGGTAGAAGATGCCGAGGTCGTCATCTACTACGGTATATAGATGTGTGCAACCGGGGCATGAATGATACAGGTATTGAGGTGGACTCATATGAACGAAATACCATGGACCGTGTTGAGTGGAGAAGGCATATCGGGAAGGAAATGAGATTGAAGGAAGAAATGATTTGCAGAAAAGATGAGAGCTGAGCGTCTGAGAAGAAACGGAATAAACACAAATGTTGACAACAGTCGTCCTGAAATCCCATGTTATCATTGTGGAAGACTTTTCTTAACGTGGGCGGGTCTTGCTAATCACACTCGCCATCGCCATGGGCTGTGAGAGTACCATATCTCCTCAAAGTGCAATATAACACTTTTGTCTGGAAAGACGGAAAGGTGCCAGTCATCAATCACAGGATGTTGCAGAACCAATCCCAGCATTTTTTTTTAAGCTGTTGTGATTTTTCTAGTCAAATTTACATCTAGTTGCTCTCTGGGCGGTCGACTGTCGATATCACTGTCGAAACCGACGCAAGATGGTCTGCTACCAAATCGCCTGCAGCTGGGATTGAACCTGGCACCCCGACATTACAAAGCGCATATACATGTAAACCACAGGTGCGGACATAATATGCATCAAACTGGACAGAAAATGAAGGCAGGCAGAATGTCAGGCCTGAATATTTAAGAATTCTTCTTAGGGTAGCACAGTAATTTTCCCAGGTGGATCTGCTGTTGGACACATGAGGAGCTCCTGGGCTTTTGCAGGCAGCTTTTGTCAGATGGAGGACTGTCAGGGAAGACTGCTGGGCCTTTGTCTTGACTACACGTTGTGTAACTATTGAGGTCATGGCAGTAACTGAAGCAATAGTCCTGTCTGGAGACTTAGGACAGTCTTTCTGGCTTTTCACAGTGACTCAGTGAGTATCTTCAGAAGGTTAAGTTGGTCTGGGCTCAGAAATAGTGGACAGTCACCGCTGACCCCCAAAAATGTAGTTTTATTTGTGTACCTTGGCATTCTGATGTAAGAGGAAGCAAACAGTTTGGTAGGCTTGCCGATAGGGCTGTTGTGGATGATCACTGAACTGGGCTTATATCCCTAATACCCACAGAGAGGTAGGGACTAAAAGGATCAAGTTAAAACTGAATCAGAAGCCGTAACTAGTTTTTAAGAACTGTGTATCAAAAGAAAATGAAGCCAGACAAGAGCTTTGTGCAGTGCTGCCAGCAGGCGGCAGGCTGTTCTGTGGAAAGTCACAGCCATTGGGCAATGAAGTCCATCCTCTCACCTTAACCTAAGAACTGACTGGCGGGATATGCAATGAAGACAGTCAGTTAAATAATTTATCTTAGGTCCATTTCTGAATCACCAAAAACTTCTTGAATTTTTAAATGGTTTTCACTTTTCCTTCATCAGTCTTTTGTCAAAATTTGAAGCAAAACCATTCTGACGCGTGCGAAATGTTAGCTTGATGCACCGCACACTTGCCAAGTATCCAGGTATACTTAATAGTGTTACAGATCAAAGTCACCACTCCCGCCCAACAGCAATAAAGGACGCTGGATACATGTTGAACGTCAAAATATAATTAATGTATTTCAAAACCAAGACAATGAATCCACATGAATTTCTATACTGCCACAGTCATTCCTACTGGCAAGGCAACACACACTCCGGACGCTCTGGGCTACTTCTACTGCCACCCTGTTCCGTGGTTAACAACGAGCAAACACCTGCTCGTGCAAACCCACTGCTCGTGAGTACGTGTCTGTCTCTATGACACCCATCTCTTGGGTACACTGTCACTAGAAAGATCATACAGGCCGATGCACAATACCTTGTGAAGATTATCCAGACCTTCTGTCTGCGGCCTGACACGTACTTGAGATCTCCCATCTCACCACACGAGCTTCTGTCACGCTGGCCCGGCCTCTGCGGCATCTCTCGCCGATAGCCTGGACACCTAACGCCAGCGTAACATGCGGGTGTGCAGGACTAGTCTGGCAACACCCAGACTAGAACCTACATCACCGCATCCTTCCTCTCCGGGGACTTGAAGCCAACCGTTTTTTCCTCTCTTCACATTGCGTTCAATGTGTCCTGCACCGCACTAAGTGTTTACGTTCAATAATGAACTTCCCTTTCATATACCCATATATTGCACACAACACATTCCTCAATTTGCTGAATCGTTGAAAATCTGTGTTCACTACACTAAATCCGCTCCCAATCTGACTACCAGTGACTAACGCTCTCTGTGGACAGGAAAAGACAGTTCACATATAAGCAAGAAGGCTTCCTACATCCTTTCCCACCAGAAAACACCTCCTCTGTTTGATGTGTCCCTTGGTGAAAAATTAAGGCAGGATACTTTTAAAGTGGCTTAGCCATTGTTTGGTTAGTTCCTGTGTTTAGCATCCCCATGTGCAGTTGGTTGTCATGGGGGAACTGTCACACAGTGCTTTTGTATGAGGACTTGTCCGACTGTTTGCCATTCTTATGTGTCGTGTTGTCTTTTAGGACATTGTCTGCTCATCCTCTGGTTAAATAATTGATGGTATGTGTCCTCCTCATATGCTCTTATGTAGAATTGGCAGTCTTTTAAGTTTTGTCCTACAGTTTGTGTGACCTGCTCATGTGTAAGTTGATTTGTCATGTAGGGCATGTCCTAATGTTTGCTCTTTGCCCACATAATCACATATTTGTAAGCTCAGTTTGAGATATTTTCAGACAAATGATATATCTGTTCTCAGTGGCCATCTCACATTCTGTATGCATGCCCATGCCATCCTGTTCTCCCTCTTCTGTGGTTCTTCATGTTTTTTTTTATTGGCCTCTATACCATTCCCTTCTCTGGTCATTGTTTACGATATTTCCATTCTCCCCCCCCCCCCCCCCCCCCCCCCCCCCAACCCCCAGATATATGTCCTGTGCTTGGCAAAGAGGAAAGGAATTTAATTATGTCCAAAATTCATTTGATACTGAAGCCAGTTTACCCAGTATACTAGGTGTCCGTTAAATTAATTTTGTAAATATATTATTGGTATCACAGTTTTGCCAGAAATATTTAGTTGTGCATGTCATTCTAGGAATCCACACAATTTTCTTCAAGAGGTATTTTCTTTCTTTTAATTTCAGAAGCCAAGGTCGGTGAAAACAGTGACCAGGCAGGTGTGAGATCTTTGGACCAGGAGAAATCTGACAACTGATGCTGGCAGACAGCACTTCTTATACCGACAGACAGTACGGCTCATCTTCTAGAAGACATCGGCTCAATTGTGGCCATTTCTTCTGAGCTCTTTTAAGGCTGTTTAAAGTTTAATTTCTACAGTCACTATGTGCTTTAACGTTTTGTTGTAAATAGTGTTGTGTCAGTGGTTTCGTCTGTGTTCTGCATTAAAATGTTGGAAAATCAATAGTTGAACCGGAGGTCCGTTTCCTTCCTTTGTTGCTTCTATTCCACTTTAGGATATAAAGGATATGTAACCTAGTAGTGATTGGAAAAAATTATAGCAGAAGGCATGGTACCAGGAAGGAGGGGCAGAGGCTGACCGACATGAAGATAGGCACAGGATATAAGTGACTCCTTGAGTGGGAAAGTTCATGAGGCGGGAGAACTGGCAAGAGACCGAGTTTCTTACAGGCAGACTGTAATAAGAGCGACGTTCTGCAAAGGACCTGCTACACGATGATGATGAACCTAGTAGTGGTTGTGTGGGAGGCAACTGTCGTTCCCTAGGGACCATGGAGCGTGCTGCTGTTTTTGAGAACATCGCCTGCTACGACTGTAATGTCCTGTGATGGAGTGACAGTCTTTGCCATATAGATTGCATACAAATATCAGTACTCTATTATACCGAGGCTGGTTTTCTTTTAGATGTCTCCTATGTGTAGCTTGTTGTGTTAGGCCTCTTGCAAAGTCTGATGGTCTGTCTTTCATTGTCTGCCTCCATAGGAGTTGGTCTGCGGCTGAACTGTCCCAAGTGTACATGTCAGTGTTGGCGTCTTTCAGGTCTTGTTGTGCATGTCCTTACAGCATAGCTTTGGCCTTCCTGCAGATCTTATCCCTCTTTCCTGTTCACTATACAGGGGGTCCTTTGGAATACAACTGTCCACCATGTGGGAGACATGTCCCAACCAGTACGGGCATCTTCAAAGTTAGTTAAAGTCCTGATTATCAACTTCACTGCACAGGTTTTATCTTGTATGGCTTGCAGGATATCTTTGTTTCAGTAGAGTACATTTTTTGGCATTCCTGCTTTTCTAAGGACACATTCTTAGGGAACAAAGCCTTGCCATGATATACCAGAAATATGTCTCATTCTGCACATATGGACTGTATTCAGTTTTTTCTTTTTTTCTGAAGGAGCATATAGAGTCCAGGTTTTAATTCCGAATAGAAACATGTTGAGGACACGATTTTCATAAACTTTGAAATTTTGATCCCTGTAAATGGTCATGTATGTTCATTATGAATAAATACACTGTAGCTTGGTTTATCAAACCATCTTTTGTCTTCTTCTGATCCTTTTATAGTAGGTTCTTATGAAACTTTGACTTTATTTCCCTCTAATCCTCCTCCTCCTGCAACAAAACATTTTTGCTCAGTGTCTTGGAATGTTGTTGTCTTCCTCTTGTTCTTGACTAGGCTCTAAGGAAAATATTGTTCTTGACTAGGCTCTAAGGAAAATATAACATTTTTCATCGTGTACTCTGTTGTTGATTGCCCAATGCTTCTAAGAAGGATCAAATGTGTGCGTTGGTCCCACTGTGGCTTAGGTAGGAGATGGCAGATTAGCTCATTTGAGCCTAAGTTAATGTGATGGCTTAGAAAAGCAGCAGCACCGTCACCAGCTCAGTGAGATTTCCAACAGCCATTAGATTTTTGAGATGCACCCCAGTTTGAGAATGCTAGGTATTCAATCTCTCTGCCCAAGAGGTCAGATGCCTGTGTGAAATACTAGACAGCAAGCAGGTCTTCACAGATTCTCACTTTTGATTAGGATTTGAACAGGCTGCCCTCGGAACCTCAGGCCAATAACATGTTTCTAGGCAAAATCTTATCAGATACTTGTCTTGTTAAAAGCGCATGTGTTGTATTTTTGAATAGAATGACAAAAGGTAACCTCAGATATATATATATGTGTGCTCTAGCAAATTCAGATTAATTGATGGTGGGGCACACAGCCATTGGACGCATCATTATTGGTTCTCTTTTTGTTTCATGCAGTGCAGTGGCAGTACTAAGTTATTCATTTTAAATAATATGGAGACAACTGCTAGTTGATGCTAACTGTTGTATGGTGTTGGATACTATACAGTACAGAAATCCATTGTTAACTGTATCACTTTTACAGTATTGTAATGTTTTTAATGTATTCTCTGTATTTTTATCATAATGATTTTCTCTGTAACAAAGTAATCGCACAGTGTTGGGCAAACATGTCCAAAATATATTGTAGAATTAGTCTATGAAATCGTCTGATCATAGTCGATGATCAGCATACATTAAGTTACTTGACGGCCTGGGACAGTAAGTAAACTTTTGTTATGTTACTATCTTAATTCATGTTGGTTTGTTACAAAAACTGTCAGTCTGAGTTGTTAGTCAAACAGTAGACCCACGTGTGTTTGTCAGAATTGTGATAGGATTTTTTTTTGGAGTAGTCAGTTTCAGATCTTCAGAGTGTCTCTGTCAGCTTTGTTTGCTTTTTGGTGGTTCTCTCTGATCACATGTCTTGTGTTTCCATGTGTATATGCCTTTTACACGTTATTTCTCCATTGACTAGAAGTTTGTTGACTGGGTCCACTGAAGAGATCAATGCAAACATGTCTATTGCTAGTCTTCTTGTCAGCACTCACTGGCTGTATACTCCAGCAGAAAGTTCTGGTAGTTTGTCCGCTTCTGGACTTTGGTCTTGTTACAGAACTTTTTTGTGCACATCCATTTTACATATCTGGCTTGTTTGTATGCAGACTGTTGGTTTCTCACCTTTTAGACAGATACACCACAACTTTGAAGGAAATACTCCTCATTAGTGACCAGTGGTGTATTTATTCATAATGTAGGGGTATTTTACATCAGAGGTTGTAACCTAAACCTCTTATTTGTGCTCAGGTGGTTGTGGTTTGTCATTTGATGTAGCCATTGGATTTTTACAAAATAAGACTAGAGATCGAAATGCTCTCCTGACGTTTGGGTAGTGAACTAACACCCTTCATTATCGGGTACAGATGAAAGACCAGAGTGCATGTTATAAAGATTCCTTGTCATTTAAAAAGAAAAAAAAATCAGCCCGCCTAGTTGCGTTTATAAATTAAAAATGAGAGAAATGAAATGTCTGAGCAGGGCTGCGGGAGTTACCAAAATAGATAAAATCAGAAATGGGGTCATAAGAGAAAAAGTCGGCACATAATTAATTCTACATTACAAAGAAAAAATCAAATGGTTTGCCAACTTAGAATACCTTGTATCCCCATAACCATTCAAGGCATATACTAAAAGAGGAGAAGGACGTAGAGCACAAGATAGAACAAGATGGAAATATAATATCAAAGAAACGCTACAACAGCATGATGTATCTGTGGTCGAGGCGACCAGAATAGCAAAACTTTCATCACCTGAAGCTGTATAAGGGGAAGTGATAAAGAAGAAGAAGAATGAAGTTCAGGAGCTGGCAGTGCAGTAGCTAGCATACTTGCCCCAAGGGCATGTGTTTGAATCTCTGAGGTAGAGATTTGTATTAAAACTGACAATGACCACCAAGCCCTCCCCTCCTACAGTGGGCAGTATGATGTAAAGATGGCCAGTTTGGTATTGATCGTATCACCCGTCTAGTGCCTGTTGGTTTGCAGACACATGGAGCTGTCACCATATAGAATGCCTCAAATCCTGGGATGAGTCTCTTATTTTGTATGATGGACCTCGAAGATGATTAGTGAACAGTAAATAAATGAAACTAATGGAGCTGAGAGGGGTTAATGGGCCCACAAGATTGAGTAGGGAGTATTTGATAGGTAGTAAGGATATGGTCGGCATCTACAGGCGATTTGGCAGCAGACCGTCATGCATTGGATTCGACAGCAGTCTCGAAAGTCAACATGCAGAAAGCAATGGCAAACTACTGAACATAAATTTGCCTAGAAAAACCACAGCAGCAAAAAATGCTTAGGTTGGTTCTGCAATGTCCTGCAAAGGATACACAACTAACTTGTAGTAAGGAAATGAAGCTAAGGCTAAAAGATGAAGATTTGTGGGTCGTAATAAATTAGGCCTAAAAGATCAAGTGGACAGTGCTTGATGGTTAGTAAGGAAATCAAACTTCCTCCTGTGGGTACTGGGGCCTCAGTGTGGAGAAAAACAAGAATAGACCCACAGCCTTCCCAACAAACATGTCTTAGGAGCCGACTAATTGGGGGCTTTCTTTGAAACTGGAGTCCATCAGCCAGAGCTGCAAGGATGGGTGACAAGGAAATCAAACTAATGGAGCAGAGAGAGAAGAATTGGTGGGCCAAATTAGGCCCAGAAAATCAATCGGCGGACAAAAAAGAGTCAAACTTAGTGGAACTGAGATACAGTTAGTGGACGGTAGAGTGGTACATCTAAGTTGAAGAGATGATTTTTTAGACACAAAGCGGTCTGAAGTGACTTAGAAGATAGGTTTAATAGTAGTATTGGCTTGTGTATTGCTAATTGATTAGCATGTCTGGAAGGTTATACCCAGAAACATCCACATAATTCTGTAATGTTGATATTTACTTCCTTCTTTCTTTTTTTTTTTTAAAACTCATAGTGATCTAGAGACAAACTAATTGTGTTTTTACATAAATTTATTTGTACCTCAACAATTTTTGGCACAGTGTTGAATTGTTGAGCTGTATATATTTTTAATCCTGTTTTTATAAAATTCTTTCTTTGCATGTTTCTTTGACTGGGGTGTCATATTTTCTGGTATATATTTCACATCTTGTTTGCCTATCATGTGTTTTCTGACTCAGATTTCACATGCTTTCAGGTTTAAATGTCATGTGTCCCATGGCTCATATTTTGTTGCCTGAACGAGACTTGTATGTGTGGTTCAGTTTTTATATATATTTTATTATTCAGATTTCACATATTTTAATATGTCACACGGTTTTGGCTCTGGTTCTTGTTGTTGTTCTGTTTACACTTATTGCATTGGTAAGCTTTAATATGTTTTCTGGTTCC